TTATGAGCCTCTTGTATTGGACACTAAGAAACTTAAAACACAGCAGCTCTGCTGTGGCAGGGAGTATATGGCATTTTTAGACAGTGGGAGAATAGCAGCTTTCTTTTTTTAAAAATTTTTATTGTGAAAATACTGTACAGAGAGGTTACAATTACATGGGCAAGGTAATGAGTACCTTCCTTCCTTCCTTTTTTCTTTTCTCTCTCCCTTCCTTCCTTCCTTCCTTCCTTCCTTCCTTCCTTCCTTCCTTCCTTCCTTCCTTCCTTCCTTCCTTCCTTTCTTTTTCGGATAGGGCCCAGGCCCAGAGTTCAAGACCCACTACCAACAAAAGAAAAGAAAAAAATATTTTTGTTATCTATAAGTAGTTGTACAAGGAATTGCCATTCACCAAAACAGTTTACACATACAGTCTATCTTGACCATTTTTTTTTGGGGGGGGGGGTCCGGTCATGGGACCTGAACTCTGGGCCTGCGCGCTGTCCCTCAGCTCTTCAGCTCAAGGCTAGTGCTCTACCACTTGAGCCACAGTGCCACTTCTGGCTTTTTTCTTTTGCTTATGTGGTGCTGAGGAATCGAACCCAGGGCCTCAGGCATGCAAGGCAAGCGTTCTACCACTGAGTCACCTTCCCGGCCCCCATGAGTACATTTCTTATCAAGCATTGTTGCCTCCTCCTTTGTTTTAGCAGCTGCTCTTGGCAGATATTTCTGGGCTTTAGAATCAGGATCCTAAGTTTTTCAAAGAAAAGGAAGCTTACAGAGAGGGCACTATACTCCTAGGGCTGAGTCACAGTGGACTTGCTTCTCTTCTCTCCCCTTTGTGGACTGCCTTAGGATGGCAGGATATAGCCAGAGCTGGCCTGCCCCATTCTTGTTTTCTTGGGGCACAGATTGTGGGGTAGGGGACGGCCAGGCTATAACAGTATAATTACATACATGATGAAACTAAAGGCATCTATCAGTTCTAAGATGTATCATTGTCATAATGACAGAAGTGAGTCACTAGATGTTGACCTGGAAGGTCAGGATGGCCACTTGAGAAAGGAGTCTTGAATGATTTGGTTTTGCCAAGTGGAGAGGCATTGTGGGGGAACTGGGAAGTTAGCAGCAGAGGAGGACCACCAGGATATGTGGGTATCTTATAGCGGGCTCTCTGGACTTGTGAAGCAGGCCATAGTATGGATGCACTCAATTGGATACTTTGAAGGACTAAAGACAGCTCCCAGATGTGACCTCACTAGAATCCTGTGTGTGTGTGTGTGTGTGTGTGTGTGTGTGGTTGGGGGGTGTTCTCCTCCATGACCTTTGTTCACATGGATAGCTGAGTAGAGCAACCATCAGAGTGTCCATGCCTCCTCTATTTCCTAGTTACTTCAAGCTGTGGGCTAGGCCTGATGCCATCTATCCTATAGGCAGCAGATTCACCTTTCAGGAGCTGGTGTGCTAACTGTGCACCTCATACATCATGGGGCCTGCTCAGACTTCCAGACCTTCTTGTTCCCTTTTCCCATTGGGTCCACTGTAGCTCCTTCTTGTAAACAGTGGATCAGATCACTGCTCTTTATGACCATTGTCTTGGTCTCTGAGTGAAGTTTCCCAAGCTTGACTGAAAACTTAGGCAGTCCTTTCAGGCACCCAGAAGCCTGGCTTCCTTAGAGTGGGGAATAAGTAAGTTTATGCTATTGCCTGCAGATAATATGAAGTAGGAACTGTCCTCATTTTCCCACTGCCTGACATAGGCCTCAGTAAATGATTTCTTTAAAGCAGCTTTTATTTTTATTTATTTTTATGTGATTTTTTTATTGTCAAAGGGATACACAGGGGTTACAGTTAAATAAAAGTAAGATAATAAATACATTTCTTTTAAAACTTGGTACCCTTGCCCTCATTTTTTCTCCTACTTTCTTCCCCCCCCCAGTCCCCAAGATGTACAGATCATTTCCAACATATTGTCTTGTGAATATTGCTTAAAACAGCTTTTATTGTGGTCATATTCATCCTGCACAACCAACCCATTTAAAGTGTACAATTCAATGGGTTTTGGTATATTCTCAGAGGTACAGCCATCAACAGAGTCACTTTTAGAACACTTCTTTGTCTCCAAAAGAAATTTTTTACCTCTGACTATCTTCCTAGTCCCCTACTAAGCTAAAGTTTTGCTTTTGTAAATGTTTCACTGGGTAGCATCAGCTTCCCAGTCGGCTCCTAACAGAGTGCTTGTTTTTGTGCTGTGTCTCTGCCAGCCAGGACCCTTTTACCATGCGGTTGTAGAGCTTGAACTCAGGGCATAAATGCTGTCCCTGAGCTCTTTTTGTTCACAGCCAGCACTCTACCACTTTGAGCCACAGCTTTACTCCTGGTTTTCTGGTGGTTAATTGAAGATAAGATTCTCAGACTTTCTTGCCTGCATTGGCTTCAAACCGTGATTCTCAGACCTCAGCCTCCTGGAATTACAGATGTGAGCCATCCAACGCCCAGCCCCTTTACAAGGCATGTTCTGAATCTGATCTGTAATTTATGATTGTGGTCCAGCCAGGTGGTACTGGTAGGTCCCTTGTGTGTAGCACATGTCTGTGAGCTCAAGTAGGCCCGAGTAGATCTTTGTTCATTGAATAATGATGCTAACGAGGACACAGACCTGAGATTGTAGTCTGTGTTGTGAAGGAGCATGAACATGATCTCTCCTACACTTTTTTGGGAAAGGTCAAGTAGATGTAGCTGGTGATGTTACGATGCCCTCAGCCCACAGCCAGAGGCTAGGAAGATGGCACAGAGCCAGGCAAAGAGACAGTATTGCTGTCTAGCCTGCTGAGCTTATATCACAGGTGTGGGATGTGCATGCCAGTGGAGAGCCCAAGCAGGGTTCACCAGGTGCAGGATACACACTGAGAGAGGTCTGGCCCTGGTTCAGGCTTTCCCATGCTGTGGGTGATATTCAGTGGGATCCACTTAGGGTTCACATTTGGAGTGATCTGAGGAGAAGCTCAATATGCTTGTTCTTCTTGGGGAAAGGGGGTACTGCTGGTGTCGTTTTAACCCTTGGTCTTCTGCTAGCACTCATTGCTGTTCTGTCAAAGCAGTTTCTCTTTCTTCCTGAAGCCCACCCTACTACTGGCCCACAGCCCTTCTTACCCACTCTACTCATGGGAAAATATAGTGCTTCCAGGGGCCTTGAAAAGTCCTGTGAAAAGATTCCAAGAAAAGAGGATTCGTGGCTCAACCTAGAGTTTGTGTGACCTTCAGCAAGCAGCTTGCCCTCTCTGAATCACAGATTCCACAGCTAAATGTGATAAAGCTTCCCAGTTGGGAGATTGTTCAATAAAAAAAAAAAAATTAAGCTGGGTGCTGGTGGATTACGCCTGTAATCCTAGCTTCTCAGGAGTCTGAGATATGAGGATTGTAGTTCGAAGTCAGCTGGGCTAACCAACATAAAGCCAGAAATGGAGCTGTGGCACAAGTGGTGGAGCTGTAACCTTGAGCAAAAAAAGCTCAGGGACGGTGCCTAGACCCTGAGTTCAAGCCCCAGGATTGGCACAAAAAAAGAAAAAGAAAAAGAAAGCATTTAGGAGCCCTTTTGTGGCTTATTCAGAAATAGTTGTGTGCATAGCAGTCGGTGGGGGTGGGAGGGTGGGGCTGGACTTTCCTTTTTGTTACTGCTTCCCATTGTGGCTGTAAAGGAGGACAGAGCCAATGTCCTATCCTGTAACCCATGCTGAGTTTCTACTGCCAGGGCCTGAGAGTGGGGGGTTCTTTGCACTGAAAATATAACAATGCCTAACATTTATGGAGGTTTTATGGGCCAGACACCAACTCAGTGTTTTTTTCTTTATACAGTTTTTATTGAGATACAGTTCACATACCGTAAAATTCACCCCTTTAAAATGTGCAATTTACTGGGTTTTAGCATATTCACAGTGTTGTGCAACCATCTCCAAGATCTCATTCCAGAACATTTTTATCACTCCTAAAAGAAAACCTATGCCCATTAACAGGCATCCCCCCCCCCCAATTCCCTTCTCATCCCTGAGAGCCATTAATCTGCCTTCTGTGGGTCTGCCTGTTTTAGATGTTTCACGTATGGGAATTCTACAGCATATAGGCCTTTGTGTCTGGTTGCTTTCAACTACATACTGTGCCCTATAGCTTGCACCAGTACCTCTTTATTTCACCGTGTGGATAGACCACAATTTGTTCATCCATTTATCTATTGGTGAAGAGTATAGGCTTTTACTACCTTCAGATGGTTGTGAGTAATGCTTTTAAGAACATTGAGGTAAAGGTTTTTATTTGCTTCCCTATTTTCAGTTCTCTCTCTCTAGTATATACCTAGGAGTAGGATTGGTAGGGCTCATATTAGCTCTATGTTTAGCCTTTCGTAGAACTGCCAGGTTGTTTTCCCAAGTGGTTGCACCATTTTACCTTCCCATCCTGGGTTTATTTGCATCATCTTAATCAGTATTCACATAAACTGCATGAATTTCCTGAGGTATAGGTAGAACTGTTGACCTTTCACATGGGAGAAACAACTCAATGAAGACTTGAAATCCCACTACTTGGCTGTAGCAGGTGGCTGATGAGTCTGGCTGGTATGGGTTTTGACTCTTCTGGGCCCTGCTTTGTGCTATGTTTTGTTCTCATTTGTGTTATATTCTTAGTGCTGAACACATGCTGGCATTAACATACTATTGAATGCCATTTTTTTTTTCTGATCTTGATGTTTTGATTGGGAACTTAAGGGAAGCTATGCCTGTGTATTCTGGGATATTGTACTTGGTGGGTTTTCAAATTCATGGAGTTTTGTGTTCCCCTCTCTACAGTGGATGTTGCAGAATCCCTCCAGCCTCTTACTCTCAAATGTCCTTCTACTTTGGACACTTATCAGCCTGTGACTAGGGTATGGGAGGTGACTTCCTGCTTGTTAGATTGCCTGATTGTCTTGCCTGGCTCTCTCCCACTCTGGTCCAAAGTTGCTGATAACCTGCTTTTTTTTCTCTCTCTCTCTCTCAGGCAAAACCCATTTATGGTGGCTGGTTACTCCTGGCTCCAGATGGGACTGATTTTGACAACCCAGTGCACCGGTCTCGGGTAAGGACACCAGAGTGAATATGCAGGGTAGGAGAAATGACACAGAGAAGGGTTCTTTTGAGGACAAATTGGTGAAATAGGAGAGGAAGACAGGAGTTGAGCAGTTTATCTATGATGCCAAGGTTAGCAAAGATCCATTCATTTAGCAGACGTCTCAGAATTACATACATATGTTATGCAGACTCTTCTCTTCAGAATGAGCTACTCTCATGTTGACTCTCACCTGGTCTCTCAAATCAGTTAAGTGGGAAAGGCAAAGGAGCAATTGAGTATGTGTTTGCACTATGCTAATTTGTGTTCCAGTTCTTACAGTGCCAAGGCCCTGCCTTCTGATGCTCCCTCCTGAGCTAGAGGCTCTGCACATGAATACTATTTAAAGGATGGGTCCTGGAGGCCTAAGCTCCCCTCTCTCTAAGCTGTGTTACTTCCCTTATCTCCTGGGAACCTGCTGTGGCAGGTCTCTGCTGGCACAGTGGCACAGCGAGATGGTTAAACCAGCATTGTCCTGACTGTGGTTTGTTTTTGTGCCAGGAAGCCCCTTTGGGTCCAGCTCCAATTAAAATGCTGTCCTTCCTTTTTCACGCACTATCATCTTGTTACAAACTACTCCAATGCCTGCTTCTCATCTTTGAAGCTTCCCTTCCCTTTCCCTTTGGTCTCTTTGGCTCACCCCCTCTCCATCTGGGACAGGGCTTCATGATTACATATTCTGGCCCCACACACCTGACATTATATCTCTGGTCTTTGGACTTTCTTCTGGAGTGGGTTTAGATTTCAAAGATTATACATAGGAGCCTTGGAAACTTGGAAATGTTTCTGGAAGACAAGTCCAGGCAGCCCTGCTCTGGACATCTGGCCTGAAAACAACCCTGCACATCCTCTTTGCAAGAACCTGTTCCTGCCTTAAGGCAAAGGAAGGTCCTATTCTTGCCACTCAGGTGGGAGATAGATCTAGTCAGACTGCAGTTTCCAGGTAGCAAGTGCCCTTCCTGGTTTCTCTTGTTTGTGCAGAATTGTCATTTCCAGTTCCTGATGGAAGAGTCATTATTGCAAATGATATAATTCTGCTCTATACATATATAATATTGTTTAGTTCTATGCTGAGGATAGGTCCTGGATCCTGCCGATGACCTTGGGGGTTAATGGCACTCCCTGTCAATTGTGATTTAGCCCATAACCTTGTTTTGTAGACTAGGCCCTTTCTCCACACAGAAAGAGTATACCCACCCACAGCCCTTTTCATTCTAGCTCTTGGTTTCATTTGACTGTTGGCAGTAAGTAGCCTTGTGGCTTGGCCTTTGGATAGAGAGTGAGTGGCAGTGCCCTATGCAGTCAGTCACACCCTGAATAGTGGAGTTGTTCCCTCTGATCTCACTTCTCTTCCCTTTTGATTTTTGTTAATTCATTCCATCTCTGAATTCTGGAATCTGGTTGTCCTTATATCTCCTGGAAAATGATCAGAGCACCCCTTTTTATAGCAGTTTCCTGGATATTTTAAGAAGTAGTAATCAGTGGTATCCTTAGGTTATTCCAAAAAGTGTTGGGTCATTCATCCATAAGTATCAACATATATCATGGGACATCTTTGTGCTTACTACCATAAGGAATACAGAAAGATGATTACCATGTGGTTAACCATCTGCTTCCATGAAGCTTTTAGATTCTAAAAAGACTCTTCTTGTTAAACCTTGATAACTCATGTGGAACCACATGACATTGTGATTTGGGTCCCTCTCCTGGCCCCCAGCAAGGCTAATGAATCACTGTGCTTGTGCTTTATGTCTTTCTATTCCTACCATCCACCTCAGAAATGGAACCCATGAAGCCAACATTCCTTAGATAGGAGTTTGTCAGATACAGTGCTTCAGCTAGGCAAGATCTGGCTCACTGACCACTCACTTACTTTGTTCTGTTACAGAAATGGCAGCGGCGGTTCTTCATCCTTTATGAGCACGGACTCTTACGCTATGCCTTGGATGAGATGGTAAGTGTCCTCACCACTCCCTGTCCCCAATGTCTGTCAAGTCCCCTGTGGGTGTCATTGGCAACATTATGTGTCAGTGTAGTCCTGCTCTAATTTCTGTTTGGGAGTTTGGAGTGTGGTACCAGGTAGAGATAACTCTGCAGATAAACCCAGGTAACTCTGGGTTTGAGGCATAGTCTTCTGTTGTCCTGAGTAAGAGGAAGTACTGAGAGAGGAAGTCACTTCTGTTTAGGGCCAAATTAGGGAAGTCCTGGTCTCAATGGAGATTTGAACTGACTATGACACTAGGTATGGGTGAGGACAGGTGGGTTCATGTGCTGTCTTTCTAGGGCTGCCTGTTAGTTCCCAGTGTGATTGGTTTCACTTGTCACATTAGATCTTGGTATAGATTTTTTTTTTTTGGCTGATGTAAGAGATTTGACATTATTTTCAGTGTTCTTCTGGTCACTAGGCCAGAGATGTAAGGACTCCTTTGTACTCTGATACTTAATGTGGTTTTTCACCTGCTTCCTGAGTGTGATGCTCTTACTCCAGAGGACAACCCCCTTAACCCAAACAGGTGGAATATTTAGCTTTTCTTTCCTACTCATGCCAACTTTTGCCTTTCCTCTATATAGGAAATTTCTCTTCCCTAGCAGAAGTATGACTGCATTTATAAAGGGTTAAAGTAGAAGACTGCCTCTTACTGTGGATAACTGTGTGCACATGCATGTGCATACATATAGGCAGTCTTTGAAAATTGGGACCATCCTGGAAAATCTAGTCATGTGTCAAATAGGCTAGCTTTACCTGTCACATGCAGAGTAAGAGACTTCTAGATGTGAACAAGATAGCTACCATCCAAGGAACTTGTAAGGGACATTGGGATTTGGGAGCGATGTTCTAATTCATATGTAAAAGGCCAGAGTGGGTTGGTTTTCTTATTCTTTGTGGTGACACTTTTTCTACTCTTGATCTGGAGACCATTAATAGTATGAACCTATACCTGTTATCCTCTGTCTCTGTCTCTGTTTCTGTCTCTATCTCTCTCTTTTTGTATGTGTTTCTGTTCCTCTCTCTCTTGCTCTCTCTCGCTTTCTCTTTCTCTCTCTCTCACACACACCACATTGTTGCTTTGTTCTTGGGAGAGGTGGTACTGAGAATTGAACTCAGGGAATTAGGCATGTTTGGCAAGCACTGTCACACATGAGCAATGCTCTTAGTCCTTTTGTTTGTGTTTCCTCTTTTTCACCTCCATCTCCCATGTCACCTCCTTCTCCTCCTTTTTTCTTTTTGTTGGTTGTGGGGCTTGGACTCTGGTTCTGGGCACTCTCCCTGAGCTCTTCAGCTCAAGGCTAGTGCTCTGCCACTTGAGCCACAGCACTCACTTCCAGCTTTTTCTGTTTATGTGGTACTGAGGAATCGAACCCAGGGCCTCATGCATGTGAGGCAACTACTCTACCACTGAGCCATCTTTCCAGCCTTTCCTCCTTTTTTTCTTTTAGGTCCAAAACTGGACTCGAACTCTGTACCTGCTGCTTTTGCTCATTGACTAGCACTCTACTAACTGAGCTATGCCTCCAACCTCCCCTCCTCCCATTTTTGGTGGCTGATAACAGGACTTGAACTCTTAAGCTTCAAGCTCTGGTTGGTCCTTTTATTTCATGGATGGCATTCTACCACTTGACTCATACTTCCAGTACAGCTCTTTTGCTAATTAGTTGGAAATAGAGTTGGGCTTTTCTCCCCTGGCTAGCTTAGAACCTTGATTCTCAGATCTCAGCCTCCTGAATGAATAGGATTACATGTGTGAGCCACTAGTATCCGCTATGTTTTCTTTTTGAGATTTCACCTATCTTTGCCTCAGCTGACCCAAAGTAGTTGAGATTATAAACATATGCCACCATGTGTAGCTTCAATGATTGCTTTTTAAAGACTTTTTGTCTCTGTTCTTCTGGGAGGTTTTATATTCAGTGAATGGACTGCTGAGGGTTTTGCCATACAGACACCTGTGGTGCAGAGTAGTTTGAGATGTGTGGGTTGGAAGTGAGCATTGATGGATGGTGAAGTAGGAGAGTGAGACATGCTTTTCCTTCGGGGTAGAAGGCAAGTCTAAAGGGGACAGACCTTTTCTGCTCTTGTCATCTTTCTGACTTGGCAGTCACATTGACAGCAGCCCTAGGGTGAAGGCTGGGATCTTACGATTTTTGAGTTTACCCTGCCCTCCCCAGGCCTAACTGGCCTTAAGCCCTGCAACTGGCTAATAGTATAAAGGGAACCACAAGTGGTCATTGCATTGTACTCAAGCTGAGTCGGGGCCATGAAACAGCTTCCTGGACTTTGCTTGGTAACCGATTATTGCAGTTGGAAATCTGTTTTCAGGACCAGCTAAGTTTAGCAAAATCTATTCTTCCCCTTTTTTCAGTTGCACAGCACAAAGAAGGTGACTATTGGGCAGCTTTTGTGTTGGCGTAAACATAGAGCACATGCTTTATCAAAAGCATCACTGCTCAGTAATTGAGACCATTGAGCCAGGAGTGCTGATACCTCACAGCCTTCAGTGGTCTCCTGACAACCTGAGTGTGGGCTGGCTAATATTTCATGTGGTGTGTAGTAGACATGGGCCAGTGCCAGGGATGGGGGAAGGTGGGAAGCCCCAGGAAAGTCTTGGACTGAACAGAGGCTATTAGGGCTGAAAGATCTTGTGCATTGGCTGCTTTCTGACAGATGACCTTGGAACTGGAGGAATGACTGGGTAACTAGTTGGTGCTGTTCCACCCATGTGGTGGGTGATACTCATGCAACACTTCCAGGGGCATTATTTTCACTAGTAAAAACCAGCAGTGGCAGTTGTGTTGAAATGTTTTTAGAACATCACATTGGGCTTATAAGACCTTTTCCTGTTGCATCAGGAAACTTACATGAGGCCATGGGTATAGAGGCCAAACAGTAGCATGCATGGGAGCTCTCCTTAAAGAGGCTAGGAAGGGGAGCTTTCCTACATCAAGGTTTGTCCTTGATAGCCAGGATGAGCATACATTCAAATGAGCCTGTGAACTCCAATTCTTCTGCCAGCTTTCTAGTGCTGGGCTGGCAGCATCCTGAGACCTAGAGCAGGAGAGGGTCTCTGCAGACAGGTTCAGCACAGCTGGTTCAGCACAGAATCCTCTCCGAGAATACCTAAAACTGGTGGTATTCCAAGGGGTTATTGTACCTCAGTGATATATGACAATGTCTGCAGCCATCTTTGTCACAATCAGAGCAGGTATGTGCCTAGAATTTAGGGAGTGGATGCCAGGGATACTGTAATACCTTACTATGTATAAGACAGCCCTCTACAAGAAATACTGCCAAAATAACAGCAATACCAAGGATGAGAGCCCTTGAATAATTTGGTCAGTGGTTAACTTAAATTTTAGTTAATTTATTATTATTTATTAGTGTTACTATTTTTGATGCTGGTCCTGGAGCTTGAACTCAGTGCCAAGGCATCATCTCTGAACTTTGTGCTAAAGACTAGTACTCTGTCAACTTTTTAGTAGAATAGAGTTTAGAGTCTCGTAGACTTTCCTGCCTGGGCTTTGAACCGTGGTCCTCAGATCTTAGCCTCCTGAGTAGCTAGGATTACAGGTGTGAGCCATCGGTGCCAGACTTATTGTTATTATTTTGGACAGAGGGCCTTGAACTTACCTGGCTTGCTTGCTCAGGGGGCATTCTTGCTGTTTGCTATTTATTTTGGAGATGGAATTTCATAGACTTATCTGCCTAGACTGACTTTGAACTGTGACCCTCTGAACAGCTAGGATTATAAACATGAACCACTGATACCTCGCTTAATTTTAATGTATTTAAATAATTTAAATATAAGGGTTTATTTTGGTTTATGACTTTTAATGTAATTTTATAAGAGACAGACCATACCAACAAAAAGTGGAAAAGCTTGTAAGTTGTAAATACTCTTTCTTGTTTAAAATATAAGTTTGATTTGCTATTAGCTCTGTTCTTCCGGAAGCACAGTGAGAGAAATCCTGTGAGAGAGTTGTGGGGAAGGAGAGAGTTGTGGGGAAGGTTTGGCTTCCAGCCTTAAGGGAAATGGCATTTGTAAAATAGGGGTAGACTCTTTCCTACTCTGGAGGAAGATTTCTGTGGGGTCTTCTAACATCAGGCCACTCCAGGGATAGCAGAACTGACTGTGTCTTACCCTAGGCATCACATATTTCTTCCCATGGTGTATAGGGCCACAGTGCCTGTAAAGTGTTTTCCCACAGCAGCGGCTCTGAGTAGTCTATATCCACCTCTGATGTCTGATCTTATCAGTCCTGCTAGGCCCAGTTCCAGCCCTGGCTGGTGGCTTACCCTTCTGCTCTATGTAACTGTAACATTTTATGGCTGGTCAGTTCCTTAACACTTAATCACAATCTACTTGGAATTTTTAAAAATACAGTATTATACTTGTTTTTATTAGTTAAATGTTACCAAGTAGATAGTGACATCCCACAGCCGTGGCACACCCCCTCACCCCTATTCATTGCGTTCCTTGGTAGGTTTCTGCATTATCTGATGTGTCCCAGAGATAGTAAATAGTTGTGGCATTGAGCTCACATACTTTTTGGGGCCTTGCTGCAGAATGTGTACTTCCAGCTTGGGAAAGGACCAGCATAGGCAGGAAAACAGAAGGTAGCACAAGGGAATGATCCTAGCAAAGTTAGGGATATATGGTACCCTTCTAAAAATTCTGAAGACTGAATGGGGAAGGTTATCTTAGTCTTTCTTGGCTGGAGTGCGGGAGGCAGGTAGATGTCTGAGGGTTACGGCATGCCTTCAGGAGAAAGCAAGTAGTCAGTCCCTTTCCTGCCAGGGAACCTTGGGAACCTCTACAAGGAGGGGTTGCTGGACTCCGTCAATCTCCAGGGGCTGACCATTGCCTTTCCAGGCAGCTAAGAGATGGGATCACTTTTTGGAGTCTCTTTTCCTTTTTTGGGAAATATTCTTTTTTATATATCTATGTACTGTGTAACTGG